AGTCTTTAAAGCGAATCAGGTTAAGAAAAACTCAGGAGTATAGAGAAGAAAACTCAAAACCGTAAGTCACCGATTGAATTTGCATCCAGAAGGTCTGAGAACAGCACGCGTAATCTCAGAACAGATCCAAAAAATCTTCACATCGTTCAGCACTAACCCCGTTTGTGATCTCTTCCTTTCTTCCTTTCCGACAAAGGACACATACTCTCAAACAAAGGTCTGAATGTTCTACAGTTGAGAGATGTCCCCTATCATGTGCCTGGAACAACCACTACCAACAAACCAAAGTGTGATGATATGCCTTCATAGCTGCTCCGACACAGAGCGGGATCAATTGGTCTTTGGAACCCAGTCCATTTTAAAACTAGGTTCACCTTTTTCATCCTTGCACGGTAGTCTCTCCCATGACATATCCTGTTTATCACAAACAGAAGATGAAGAAATATTAGAGTCATTAGTTGATTTGGGAGAGTGAGCCTTTGGAACCCATTTGTAGTTGGGTTTAACCCATTTCTTTTTCGATCTGATGGGTGGCTCAGTACTTGCTTTTGATCTTGATGTCGGCCGTTGAGATGACTTTGACCTAACCGGTCTTTGTTTCACTGGAGCATCTCTTGGATTGGGCTTCTTGGCCGACATTCCCTTCTTGCCCTTGGGAGTTGGATTCTTGGCCTTGTGGGCTTGATTCTTTGCCTTCTGTGCGTTCCAGTCACCATGGTCTGAACGTGACCTTGAGGGGTTTCATTCGAAGTATCTCGCTCTTGGTGCGTTCTGCCAGCCTTGTGCATAGTAAGGAACGTATGCGCGATTTGGACAATTTCTGTCAATGTGTCCAGGTGTTCCACAGTGAAAACATGTCTTTTTCTTCACTGTGAAGTTGTTTCTTCCTGCCCCTGGTGGCGTATCCTTGCCTTGTCTCTTATTGTTCCCACAAGCACAATTACAACAGACACTCTGTTTTGCTGGAATTGGTGGCCTGTATTTCTCAACAGCAGGTTGATCAGAAACAGCTGAGTTCGAAGCAACAGATTCAGAGTTCAAGGAGATGTTGGTTTGTTCAATGTTTTTCTCCTTGTTCTCATCTTCTGCTACTTTACCTGCACATGAAGTAGAAGCATTAGAATTTTCGACATGAATAACTCCTCAAACAAAACCAGCTGGTTTGCCATATTGAAGATGTGTCTCCCTGTCAATTTCTTCCTATGTCGTAGGGATGGATGTGTAGTTATGATTGAAAGGTGGAGGAACACTATCATACCCTAGACCCTTGTTTTGATTATCTTTGAATTTTAATTGGGTTTCAAATAAGGACTCGACTGTCTTACTTGACGCAATATAATTTTTGAAACTAACATCTGTTTTTCCACACTTAATTTTCAAAGCGTAAAGTTCTTCAGTTACAGCATCAAGTTGTCTCTTAATATAGTCATAATTTTCACACTTGTTGCTGAATTCTTCCTGAAGCTTCCTAAAGTCCTTTATTTTTGTTTCTAACTGGGCCTTTAGGGGTTTCTGTCCTTTCCTGAGTTGATAACCTTCATATCTCAGGTCCTCAACTTCTCTTTTTAATAAATCATTATGTTCACGAATAAGTTTAATCGTAGCTTCACATGATTGAGAACATGAAACTTCACATGATTGAGAACATGAAACTTCATTGACCGGAAGGTTTGCGAAACACATTGTTTTTCCACACTTCAAAGCGTCAATTTCTTCAATTATATCAGCAAGACTAAGACGATGGAGATCTTTTGTCTTCTTGATGACAGCCACGTTCATATCCCACGACTTTGGAAGTGCATTCAGTAGCTTTTTGTTTATCTTAGATTTAGTCAAGAAGATCCCAGATATGTTCATATCAGTAGTAAGAGTTGTGAATCGCTGCAGCTGTGACTCCAGAGTTTCTCCAGGAATGTAATCGAACATGTTGAATTTTTGTCTTAACATATCCTGACTCTCTTTCATGTCTTCGTAGACCTCAAAAGCCATTAAAAGCACAACTAGAAGCCAAAATCAAACTTAAAAGTCAAACTAAAAAAAATATGCCCTTTGACTATAAACCTCAAAAGTCAACCTTAAAAGTCAAATTTAAAAAAAAGTCAAACTCAAAAGTCAAACTAAAAAAATATGCCCTTTGCCGCTGCTGAGCCGGCTTCCCTAGCCGTTCACCGAGCCGAATTCCGAGCCGAGGCCGCAAACTCCGACGACCGTAAACCGCCGACCGTAAACTCCGGCGACCGTAAACCGCCGACCGTAAACTCCGACAATCGTAAACACGTTTACGGCCATAAACTCCAGACCGTAAACCACCGACCGTAAACACGTTTACGGTCGTAAACTCCGGATATTTAACTGAGCAGTGCGTACTTTCTTTTTAGGAAATCTGATGACCGATAGGGACAATCGAAAGCGGTTATTTTGGTGTAATTGTATACATAAATGATCAAGTACGACTTTTGTTTAAAAATTATTTGTATCTCTGGATCTTACATATTGCACGTGCATCGACTTATAGTATGAGCCACGAACATTTAAACGCCTTCGTTCTGCAATATAAAAGATCACCATGGCACGACCACCATGGTTCGATCATACTAGCCACCAAGGTTAAAATGCCTTGGTTCGGCAATATAAAAGATCACGATGGTACGACTACCATGGTTCGATCATACTACCCACCAAGGTTTAAACGACTTGGTTTGGCAATATAAAAGATCACCATGGTACGACAACCATAGTTCAATCATACTAGCCACCAAGGTTTAAACGTCATGGTTCGACAATATAAAAGATCACCATGGCGCGACTACCATGGTTCGATCATACTAGCCACCAAGGTTTAAATGCCTTGGTTTGGCAATATAAAAGATCACCATGGTACGAATACCATGGTTCAATTATACAAGCGACTAAGGTTTATACGCCTTGGTTCAGTCATATAAAAGATCACCGCGGGACGAATATCATGGTTCGATCATACTACCCGCCAAGGCTTAAACACCTTGGTTCGGCGATATATAAGATTACCATGGTACGACTACCATGGTTCGATCATACTAGCCACCGAGTTTTAAACGCCTTCGCTCGATAATATAAAAAATCACCTTGGTATGACTACCTTGGTTCAATCAAACAAGCCATCAAGGTTTAAACGCCTCGGTTCGACAATATAAAAGATCGCGATGGTATGACTACCATGGTTCGATCATACCGGCCACCTAGGTTTAAATATATTGATCTGGCTATATGAGGGATCATCACATTTTTTTTATGGAAAAATCATGTGAGCCTAATTGGTTTGAATACTAGGATTCGGATATGTAAAAATCCATTACAACATCTTCGTATGGCAACCATTGTTCAGAAAATGTCATATTACAGACAAAACATCATCCTTACAAAAAAAAGGAAAGACAAACAAATACAAAATCAGTCATCTTACCTAGTGGTCAAAGCATCCAGTTCCTCCAATTGCTTTATCATAAAATGAACATCCATATTATCTCCTTCAAACATATTTAATAGAGAGAAAGGGTGGGTGGTAACCTCAGTGGATCGTTGAAGAACCAGTTTAGTACAATTTAGGAAAATGAACGAAAGTTCGACTCCCGTCATTATGTCAGGGTATCGGGCTGCAATCTCGATATACGCCTGATGTTGAACTAGCTGAATGGAGGCCTCCTGCAATAAGCTTTGACTTGGCCAAATTCCTATGAGTTAAGCAGAGCCTGAACAAATAAGGCTATTCCTGGTTTAAGAGTCCATTGAAGATCAAGAGAATGTTGCTCAGAGATCTGCTGATGGAATAAGACGTCTTATTTCACAGATGCATTTTTGGGCCTCCAATTCAGTGATCCGAACCTCTTTCTCCTTTGAGGACGAATTCAAAGTACTCAATTCGTCTTTCAGATGTTTTATTCGGACATCTTTTTCCGAGCATGCGATGTCCAACGAAGACACCTTCTCCGAAAAAAGAGTCTTCAAACCTGAAATTTTTTGGGAAACTTCTTCCAGGGCTATGGTGGATGAAGCATCATGGGCAAGGGTTTCATCAAGTTTCTGTTGTAAAACCTGATTATGTAGGCATAGTTCTTCTTGGGAGCATGAAGATTATGCTAAATCCGTTGATATATGCTTATTAGAAGATAGCAGGTCAATGTTTCCTTGCATCAATTCTATCTTTTCTCGATCTAAGCCCTGGTGGCTGGGCTGAAGCTTGTCTAAACATTCAGACATTTTATTGAAGTCAATTTATCGGGCAGCCGCAACAGCTGCACGAGCCTTGCTACGTAGGGACACTTCATTCATCTAGTGAAGGCCTTAAAGAATATGGGTTCGAGCTTTTTCTATCCATTCCTCGTTAGTCATCTAGCCAAGATCGGGCTTGTTGACAAAGGAGGTAGTAGTGAATGGATGTAGAAATGATGGAATGGATGATGCCAAAGACACTAATGAAGAAGGAAGAGTTTGCTTCTTGAGGACAGAGAAATCTAAAATTGGCATAAAATAAGGTAACAATCAAACGAACAAGAAAAGGGAAGAAAAAATAAGTTATATGGAGAATTGGGGAAAGAAGGATTTCCGAAATTTGGAGAAGACGAGCCATTGGGCGGAACTTTAGTCACCAAAACATCTTTTGTCGTGGTAACTGCAGTTGTTTTTGGGGAAGATGTCATCACATTGTCCACATTGATAAGGTCCATCACGGGAATGGTAGAAAATAGTGGAAGCTGGATTCGACTCGACCTTAGGAGGGGTGGTTGTGGAAGTAACACTTGGGGTCATATATCCAAACATTTTTTCTTGAAAATCTATCTGGCTACCACCTTTGCTCAACAAATACATCACCGACTGAACCTTAGTACATGTAGTTCTTAGGTTCGGTATCAGGTTTGGGGTCATAGCAGTTACACCTGGATTATGATTAAAAGAAGGAGTTGCATAAGATCTGGTGTAGAACCAAATAAGGACTCAGTGGCAATTATCTGGAGAAGGTCGTTTCAGACCGGGCAGTCATGAAGCGAAGACGAGTCAACTAGAGGAGGTAAAGGAGGTTTGGAGAAGGAAGGATTACCCAGCAAAACATTAGTTACTGCTTTGTTGGAATTCGGAAACTTTGCAGGCTTAGAGTCACGGGAAGAGCATAGACGCTTGGGTGAAACCAAGTCCTTAGGACTGATTGTTTGATCATGGGGAGTCGGATTGAGGGTTCTCCTATACTGATTCACCAATAATGGGTTCTTCTGGTGAAGAGAAATCACTTTTATGTATCGATGAGGTGCTCGTCTTCCTGACCGACTTGGACGAAGAAAAACAGGAGGCTTACCCTTAGATAGATCATCTCTTTTCTTTTGTTTCTTGGAGGGGGGTGACAAGATCACATCGGGATCATCAGACGCATGTTGCGCGTGGGAGTCAATGCTAGATTCAGACTCCAACCCCGTTTCACCCTCTACGAGGGTCCCGGATCTCGTTGTTGTTCCCTCGACAACTTTAGGGTTAAGGGCATTTCTATTGTAATAAAGATGCTCGAGAAGAGAGTTATCTTGCCCACAGAGGGCTGGATTCGAAGGTCGATCGATCATGTAAGGGTTCCCTCTAGGTTAGCAAGTTCGAGAATTGCATCGTTTGGTTCGCTCCACTTAACGTAATTTGCAACTAGAAGATCAACGCTCGCTTGCTCGTCTTTCGTAAGCTCGGGATTAGGGTCGTGCTCACGATTCAGAAGGTTCTCAAATTGCATTGAAACATCGAAAGCGGATGTGTCAATAAACAGAAACATGGTCTTCCATTTTTTGATAGAGGTGGGAAGGCCATCACATATCTCAATTGTGTTGGAACGCAAAGTAAAGTATACCCAATCCCCTCTCGACATAGTCACATAAAAATGGAAAAACACATTTAGAGATGGATCCATGTTTAAGGCTATGTTCAAAAGGATGAAGCACATGATGTTATTAAAACTATTGGGAGTAATTTCGGCAATGTGAAATTGGCAATACCTAGGAACTTCGTTGACAAAATCGAACACAGGTAATTGAAGCCCAGACCTTAAGAATATAGTATAAAATCATAGGAAGGCTTTGAGAGAAACGTTGATGGTTTGACCCTTCGAAGGAAGAAGGCTTTTGAACTGGGTATTGATGTGGAAAGACTTGACGATCTTGTCACGTGATCCTTTAGTCAGAGTAGAGAAAGCAGTGTGAATGGGGTGATTGTCTTTCACCATTTTGAGGAGTGAAGTATGAGGATCAAGATCGAAAGAACTAGAGGTATTAAGAGAGAGAGAGAGAGTAGAAGAAGATTAGAATGGGATACTAAGCTATCATAGCTTCTCTGGACGAATCTTTTAGTTCTCTTGAATACTGTGACTTGTTCCGAAAAGTGAGTTATTTACAATTACTTTTAAATGTTTTCCCCAATTTTTAATCTTATATAAATATAAATTAATTTTTAAAGCAATTCATAATTCGAAGACGTACCGCTGGTCGCTGGCGACTCCGGGGTAGATTCTCCTGCGGTGATCATTAGAATTCGTCCATCCGCTCCTGAGTTCTTTGTTATCGGGCAGTCCCTCCTATAGTGTCCAATCTCACCACAGCCATAGCACGCTTGGTTTTCTTCAACTCCGGGGACTTGGGAGATCGGTTGTGCCGGTGCCCTGCAGAAACGGACTGTGTGTCCCTTTCTGTGGTAGTTCAGGCACTGCATTTCCTGACATACTCCGGTGTGGTGATAGTTGCACTTTACACACTGTGGGAGAGTTCCAACATATCGACTGGCAGATGCTGGAGTAGCAGGTGTTGTGGTAGCGTATATAGTACTCGTTTGTTGCTCCTGCAGGGTTTCCTGTGTTGTTCGCTTCTTCTTCCTCTTGTTCCCCGACTTTTGTTTATAGTCCTCTCCCCTTGATGGTTCGGGAATGGGGACTACCACGCCATGGTCAATGAGTCGATGGGCCAGGCGTTTGGCACTATCGAATGCGGTCGAATTAGAAGATAGTACATCTCCTTTAATCAGGGTAGATAAACCCCAGATGTACCTTTCTATCTTCTTACTCTCCGTGTTAATCATCCCTGGACACAGTGCTTCCAGGTCGCTAAACCTGTCAGTGTAGGTCACCATGTCCGAACCGACCATTGTGTGCTCCCATAGTTCTTGTTCCGGCTTTTGTACTTCGCCCCTCGGGCAGTATTCTTCTAACATCATTTCTTTTAGGTTCTCCCAACCTATTGAATTATCCACTGATAGGGTCAGTGACTTAACATGGCTATTCCACCATGTTAGGGCTCTGTCGAAGAAGGTGCAGGCAGCAAACTTCACTTTGCTCCCTTCTGGGCACGAACATATTGCGAAGACCGAATCTGTTTGCTCGAACCATCGCATCAGAGCAATGACTCCCCCATTTCCATGAAGTCCTTGTACGAACACTCCCTTGGTTGTCCGTGATTAACTCCGGGGTTTGTTAAGTGGGTATGGCTACCAGTTCCACTGGTACCAATTTCGCTGATGATCGCTAGAGCAGCTGCCACTGCGGCTGATATCGCTGCTTGGAGAGCAATAGGATCGAATTGAGGAGGAGGTGGTGGAGTTTGAGTTGGACTTATCGGAGTAGTGCGCCTTTTTGATCTACATGGAGGCGTCTTTGATAAAAGAATACAAAGACGAGATGGAAATAAGTCTCTAGCGGTGGATATGAGTTAGAAGCTGAAAGACTAAGTTATCCTAGCTCTGAATGTATCTGGTTCTGACTTTCGTAGGGTTCTGGAAACAATTCATAAAGGAAGTCTATACTAAATAAACTTTATGAATCAGAAGTGGCTATCCTCGAATTAATATCTTTGAATTGAATAACTGCTACTAATTGCATGAAAAAGAAATAATTCTAACACATAGCGTGAGTAGTGTAATCACTAGCTCACGAAGTCAATTAAGGTAATTATTTATTAGTGTGACGCATAAGACGTTTTTAGTTTCTCTAGCTGATCACTTACTGGAAACTTCTCATGAACCTATTCTTGTTTCTCCTTGACTCTCCTCCTGATCGCTATGAGGAAGTGGTTACATCTATCTGGTTCCTCGTACGAGAATGGAAGTGTCTAAAGAATCTATGAGATTAAGGGTAACATTATGGGGTGATCCTTACTAGGTTCTCCTATAGTCGCGCAATGTATACAAGTTGTATATAATTTAAGATTAAATAGACCTTCGAATAAGTGATCCTACTCCAAAACCACAACCAAACAAGGAATAGGTAGTGAAGCATATATCACAAATTCTAAGTCTATAAAATCTCAATTATATAAAACCTTGGAAGTATACCCTCCGGAATCATAGACCTACCAGAAGGGTCTTTAGGTTCTCACACAAGTTATTTATAGTGCCTAAAATACTCCTATAGTATTTTCTTATAATGTACTTGGTATGTTTTAAACTTGTTTGTTGTGTTATAGCATCATAAAATACTCCCATAGTATTCTAACTTTATGTACTGATCTAGAAATCCCTTGAATAGTGTTAGGTAAGTTTTAAGACTGTTGCAACACCACATCACTCCCAAACACATGTCGGTCACATCTCGAATGAATATAGTTGATCAGGCTATATTGATCCTATATATGATTACATAACTGTCCAGGTTTGACCGCATTGTTCAACCTTTAAATACTTATGTTCTGTTCTTCTTGTGATACTTGTTCTAGTATGTATATATGTATAAGCACGTATGTATACTTTTATAAGGTATTGTTATATCCTTAAAATATATTATTATCCAGAGCACTTCGGCCCCATTGTATTTATAGTTGTATATCTTTTGTCGGTTGATATACTTAGTTCACTATAAACAATGCTCTGATACCAATCTGTCACACCTCCAAACCGGAACGGCGGAAACGTTCGAGGGGCGGAGGACGTCATGTTTAGATGTTTAGTATCACAAGACATGCATCATAGTAATCAAAGTAACAAACAACCATTTCATTAGAAAGAAAGTGTTTACAAAGTATGTGATTCACATAAGATAGACTACAAAAGTAAATAACAAAACAAGACATGAAGCTACTATGCTCCATCTTCTGTCTCTCCCAGTGCGCGTATCTGTCTACTAGTTTCCTGAGAATACAAGTTATTTTGAAAGAGTAGATCAACATTTAAGCTGGTGAGTTCATAAGATTTTAGTGATGTAAAGTAAGTTGAAAGTTCTTTTAGAAAAGTTCGCCTGTTCCTCCAGAAGATCCTATATTTCCTGCTTTGATGAAAGATAAGTAAAAATGACTCTACAATCCTTTCTATGAGTACTAAATGGATACAAGTTATATAAAACCCAGAGTAAACAAACAATCGATTGTGTGTATCTGCCCTAAGCCGACAACCAAACAAGGAACAGGAAATGAGGCAGAACGCACACATCCCATTGTTTGTTAGATCATCGTTGTATATAACCCTAGCATATTCACTTGGTACTCACAGAGTTAACTGTAATAGTTCCTTTATATTTGATGAAAAGATTCTTTAAGAATACCCTTATTTCTTTTAGTAAAAATGGTAACCACAATAGTTCCTTCTATAATCACTTAGTTTATACTAGCTATATATAATCTAATACCGAACAGATAGTTAGTTGTGTGAATCTGCCTTAAGCCCACAACCAAACAAGGAACAGGAAGTAAGGCAGAAAGCACACATCCAACTACCTATCGGGTATTAATTATATATAACCCTGATGTATAAACTAAGGTATTATACAATTAACCACCTAAGGTCCTTTAAGTTATACTGGCTTAATAAAATGGATTAAACCTTTAAGTGGTAAGTTTCTAGTTTTGTTTACCAAATGTTCTATTTGAAAAGTATGTTTTTGTACCTGAAAACGGTGTATTGAATTAGTATACTATGACCTGGCCCATACCTGGTACTCCTTATGATTACTTGGTGTATACGGAATATATATGTAGCTAAGATCGGATAGATAGTAGGTTGGGTGAATCTGCTCTAAGCCCACAACCAAACAAGGAACAGGAAATGAAGCGAAAAGCAAACATCCTACTACCTGTCGGATCCGATTAATATATATCCCTGATGTATAAACTAAGGAATCATAAAGTTAGCATTATAGGCCCCTTCCTACTGAATGTACTAGACTCGACTGATCTGTTTTTCGCTTGTAATGATGTGAGTTTTGTATATATTTATGTGTTTTATTTGTTAATATCCGGTACTTTGTAGATGTACCCCATATATATAAATCATGGCATATTATAGATGCACCATATATATATATATATATATAGATATCTATATATATATATATATATATATATATATATATATATATATATATATATATATATCCATTATACCACTTTTATTATCATCTTTTGTTTACAACAATGAGTTAATGATACGTTCCCTTCCTAGATTACTAGGAATAATTAGTATAATTGTGTTAATCATGATTTGTTCTTTTGTTATAGTACATAGTATGTTTTTTCTATTATCGTGTATTGTATCTTCCTCCTTGTTTCTCTTTATAGTATGTTCTCTATGTTATCGTGTATTGTATCTACCTCCCTGTTTCTCTTTA